AGGGAAGACACGTCCCTCTCTGCACTCACAGGTACCAGCTCTGGCTGAGGGGCTCCCCTGCTCTACACACCCAGTGCAACATGGGCATTGGAGGATAGAGTCAGTCCGGGGTCCTTTCTGCTCTGCACGGCCATTAAACATCCCAGAGCCCTTGCCACGGGGGTGAGTTTGCTCCACTCTCACAAAGGAAAAGGCCACTTCTCCCACACAACTAAGAACTTTTCTCTCAGATTTAACCTACAGCTGCTGAGATTCAGTTTGGCCGCAGCGCCTCTTGTCCTGCACTCTGAGGCCAGAGAGGGACATTTTTCTCCATCTGTTTTGGTCACCCTCTGCTGGACTCTCCCCAATATGTCGTGTACCGCCGTCATGCCCCTCCCCCCAATCCCGTCTTTTCCCAACGGCACATCCCCAGTTCCTTCAGCCTCTGCTCCTATGCTCTGTGTTCCCTCCCTTGGATCTTCTTTGGCTTTGGGGTTGGGACCATTTCCAGATTCTCTATCATCAGCTCATAAAGCGGTGCTCCAAACCAGACACAGCATTGCAGCAGAGGCCTGACCAGCACTGCGTAGGGGGACACCCGCATCCTCTGTGACTTGTGTGTTTGCCTCTGGGAATGCACCCGCCATGGCATTTTGATTTATTGCATTAGCAAAAGCAGACAAAGCCCCTTACCTAACCCCATGTAGACAACCTGAGGTCTACGGCAAAATTCTTCATAGAATCATAGAACCATAGAGCTGAAAGAGACCTCAGAAGGTCATCAAGTCCAGCCCCCTGCGCTAGGCAGGACCAATCCCAACTAAATCAACCCAGCCAGGGCTCTGTCAAGATGAGACGTAAACACCTCTAGGGATGGAAACTCCACTACTTCCCTAGGTAACCCATTCCAGTGCTTCACCACTCTCCTAGGGAAATAGTTTTTCCTAATGTCCAACCTGGACCTCTCCCACCACAACTTGAGACCATTGCTCCTTGTTCTGCCATCGGTCACTACTGAGAACAGCCTTTCTCTATGCTCCATCCCATGACATAGTGCAGCGGATTGTCTAGGCTGGCAGGAGAACCACCGTCGGTTTAAGTACTGTCTGCACCGAAGTGCGGTGATACTTTACGTTCAGAAAAGCCCAGAAGCAGATCTTTCCCAAAAGCCTCCTGTCTGGATCTGTAGTCATGGGGAATGGGAGAATCTGCCACTTCCCTTTGCTGCTTGTTGCAATGATGAGCCCGCCCACCCTCCCTGCTAAACATTGGGCTCTCGTTTCCAATGGGGATGTGTCTGGCTTCAGCTTCCTTGTCCTGCCTGTCTCCACTAGAAGACTTAGCTCATTATTACACGAGATGATACAGCCTGTTTCCCCTGGCTTCCTCCTCATGAACGTCTCTGCTTGGTCTTTTTTTTTTTTTAGCAGAGAATAAGAAGATGCTCTTTAAATGTCTTTCTCTGTCAGTCACTATCCTCAGCCTTGAGTCATTTTATGGCTTGAATCATTTTCTGCACCTTCTTCAATTTTTCAACGTCCTTTTTGCATTGTGGACCCTGGAACTAGCCATAGTCAGTTTCACCAGTTCCATGTGCAGAGGTAAATTCCTTCCCTTGCTCCAACTCACTCCTCCCCTGTTTGGGCAGTTGGCTACAGCATCACGCCGGGAGCTCACAATAAGTGGTTTTCCATGGTGACTCCTAGCTTCTGTGCAAGGTCCCTGCGTTCTAGAATCCGGGGCCTGAGTCTGCAGGTCAGGCCTGTGTTCCCTGTTCTGAGAGGATCACTTGGATCTCTGCCAGCCTTTGCATGAGCCGCGAGTTTTATCTGCAGTGATTTTCCATTGCCTTCCAGATCACGCATGAACATACTGAACAGCGTCAGCCCTAGAACTGATCCCCGTAGAACCCCACCGGAAGCAGCCCCGTTCCCTGACAGTTCCCCGTGAACAATGGCTTTCAAGGTGAGCCACATGGACAGTTTCTTGTTCATTTTACAAGGGCTCTAACATTGTAGACATTTTTTCATCTATTTTATCTGTCGGCCTTCCCCTGCTAAATGAGACAGCTCAGAAATTTTAGTCTGTTGTACTTGCCTACTCCCATTGATAAACCAATATGCTTTCTCATGAAAGTAGGAAGTCTCAAAATAGGGATTGGGACACCTCGTAGGGTCTGTAGGAGGGAGTATAAGCTGTCAAATGTATCCAGCCTGACATGGAACCACTCCGTTCCCTCCTTTGGTGTCTACGTGGCTGAACATACCTTCTGCTTTTCCCCTTCCGTTGACCCTAGTTCTATTCATTGCCATTTATGTTAAGCTTATGAATATGTATGTAATCTGTGGATGAGTGTAGAAGCATGGATGAGAAACCCTCAGAGTGCGTCTAGATTGGCAAGATTTTGTGCAAAAGCGCTTGCTTTTGCACAAAAACTTGCCAGCTGTCTACACTGGCCACTTGAATTTGCGCAAGAGGACTGACGTTCTATTGTACAAAATCAGTGCTTCTTGAGCAAATACTTTCATGCTCCTGCTCGGGAAAAAGCCCTCTTGCACAAGAATACTTGCACAAGAGGGCCAGTGTAGACAGGGAAGAACTGTTTTGTGCAAAAAAGCCCCGATGGCTAAAATGGCGATCGGGGCTTTCTTGCACAAAATCACGTCTAGACTGACCATGGATGCTTTTGTGCAAAAGCACTTTTTGTGCAAAAGCATCTGTGCCAATCTAGACGCGCTTTTGCGGAAATACTTTTAACGGAAAAACTTTTCCATTAAAATTATTTCCGCAAAATCATGCCAGTCTAGACGCAGCCTCAGGTGTGTCTAGACTGGCAAGATTTGTTCTTGCGCAAATACACTGACGCTCCCGCTCGGGAAAAAGCCCTCTTGCACAAGAATACTTGTGCAAGAGGACCAGTGTAGACAGGGAAGAACTGTTTTGCGCAAAAAAGCCCCAATGGCAAAAATGGCGATCGGGGCTTTCTTGCACAAAATCACATCTAGACTGTCGATGGATGTTTTTGCGCAAAAGCACTTTTTGCACAAAGGCACCCTTGCCAAACTAGATGCTCTTTTGCGGAAATACTTTTAATGGAAAATCATTTCTGTTAAAAGCATTTTCGCAAAATCATGCCAGTCTAGATGCAGCCTCAGTGGAAAGGCAGTTTAGGATCTGTAACCTTTTAAAGCAAAGACCCTGCAAAGTGTAAATCAACTGAGGAGCAGCCAGGAAAATCCCTCTCCCTTGGACAAGATGTAGCAACACAGCAGAAACCTGGGACCGGCCCAGAGAAAGTAAAGCCTCCTGCAGACCCAAAGGTTTCTCCCAGGGAACCTCATGGCCGTATCTCTGGGAAGCTGGTGCCTGACCAGCACTCCAGCCATCAAAAGTAATCTATACCGCACTTGTAGCCTGCCGCCAGCATGAATGTGATGTATTTGTGCGAATATTGCCTTACCCTTAAGAATCTGTGCCAATAAACAACCCCAAAAGCAGTCCTGCTCCGGTTCACCCTTTGTCTGGGTTTGTTCCTCAGCAGGTCTGAGGAAGAATAACAGCAACCTCCATCCCAAATCCAGCATTTCTAATGGTGTTAAATATACAAATGTGTTGTAATTTATAAAGAGGATCACACCCAGATACTTGCTGTGAGAAAGGGATCCCCAGTACAAAAGTTTGAGAACCACTGATGAAATCAGTCTTATTTGTTATGGCTTGTTTCCCATAAGCCATGGTGTTGACTGGCTTGAACTCTATTCCTAGACTTTTGTAACTAATCCCACGCCAGTTCTGTTTTTTAAATGTCTAACTCTGACAATGTTTTAATTAGATTTTCCCTTTATTTTGAGCAGTTTCCATTTAACAGAGAGCTGCCCTATATTTCTCTTTGCCTTTATTTTTCTGTAGTGCTTCCTGATTGAGCACTGGTTCCGATTGACATGTTGGGTTCTTCCGTCAGTTTTTAACTCAGATATTGGGAACTCTAAGGGTACGTTTAGACTACATGCTTCTTTCGAAAAAGCTTATTTTGAAAGAGAGTGTCTAGACCATGGGTTCCCAAAATGGGGGGCGTGTCCCCTTGAGGGGGTGTGAAGAAATTCCAGGGGGAGGGGCGTGAGGCAACCCAGCCCCCCATCAATCGCTCCCCAAGTTTTGCAGCTATTTTTGTTTTTCGGCCCCGGTCAGTTTCTTTTTTTTCTCAACAAGATCTGCTGCTATTTTTGGGGTGGAGGTGGGGGGTGGGAGTGAGGAACATAAGGGTTTCTCAAAAATCAAAAAGGTGGTATGATGCCAAAAAGTTTAGGAACTGCTGGTCTAGACAGGCACAGCTTTTTTCGAAATTAGGCTCTCTAATTCGAACTACCGGTACACCTCGTTCCACGAGAGAGAGCATAATTCAAACTACCTACTCCATGCCGTGTGTAGCCGTGGGCACAGAGTCCGCACTAAGGGGGATTTAAAAATGGCGTCGCCCAGCAAGATGCAAATGAAGCCCGGGATATTTAAATTCCGGGCTTCATTTGCAACTTCGAATGCCTACATTAGCCTCCCTAGTTCGAACTAGGGTGGCAGTGTAGACATACCCTAAGGTACCTCAGGTCTACTCATTGTTCTCTAGCCTGGTGTACAATTGCACGAAGAAACACCGACGGAGAACTGGTGTCCACCCTCTTGTTTCCTGCTGGTGCCCGATAAGATTTTCCACCTCATGACATGTAGGAGTTATTCATGCATGAAGCACTGTTATATATTGAATAGGAATTAATAGGGTTCTTTGTTCATTATTCATTTCTCTATATAATGAACCTGTCATGGTTTACTGTGTGAAGAGCAACAAGTCTACTTCACCAACAAGAACAGCCTCCAGTAATGAACATAGTGTCTCAAATTAACATTGTCTATCTATCCAGGTTTTTGCATCACAAGCATCACCATAAAGCCTGGGAAGTCAGGAGAACATAGGGTACATGTAGGAGACACCGTTCCACCACATAGTTGGACACCTTCCCTACTCCATGTCAGATTCCAACACAACCCACTTCACCAGCCCCTTCACCTTCATCCTGCTGGGCATCCCTGGTTTGCAGGCAGTCCATGGCTGGATCTCCATCCCCTTCTGCACCATGTACGTCATAGCCATCTTGGGGAACTTCACCATCCTGTTCATTGTGAAGATGGAGCAGAGTCTCCATGGACCCATGTACTATTTCCTCTGCATGCTGGCCATTACTGACTTGGTCCTGACTACGTCCATCCTGCCCAAAATGCTGAGCATCTTCTGGTTCAATTCCAAGGAGATCAGTTTCAGTGCCTGCCTCACCCAGCTGTACTTCATGCACTGCTTCTCAGTGATGGAGTCTGGGATCTTCGTGGCCATGGCGTTTGATCGCTACGTGGCCATCTGCCACCCCCTGAGACATTCTACCATTCTGACAAACCCTCTGGTCACTAGGATCGGCCTGGCCGTGGTGCTGCGCAGTTGCACGCTCATACTACCACATCCTTTCCTCGCAAGTCGGTGGCCGTACTGCAGAACTAACCTCATCCCCCACACGTACTGCGAGCACATGGCCGTGGTGAACCTGGCCTGCACTGACATCCATGTGAGCAGTTACTACGGCCTCTTTGTGGTCTTCTTTGTATTTGGTCTGGATATGATTTTTATTGCTATGTCCTACATCCAGATCCTCAGGGCCATCTTCAGCCTTCCCACAAAGGATGCTCGGCTCAAGGCTTTTGGGACTTGCGGCTCCCACCTTTGCGCCATCATGGCTTTTTACATCCCCCTGATTTTCTCTTCCCTCATGCACCGGTTTGGCCACAATATCGCCCTGCATTTCCACATTCTTATAGCCAATGTGCATGTGTTAGTGCCCCCCGTGCTAAACCCCGTCATCTATGGGGTGAGGACCAAATATATACGGGGCCGGCTGCTCCGGCTCTTTACTCAGAAAGGAGCCAGCGTTTTCCCCGTGGCTGTGGCTGTGGCTGTCAGATAGAGCTCATGGAGAAGTGGTGGGTGACATGATACAGGGCCTGCTTCCTTGCATCACACACTGGGACGTCAGAGCGACAATCAACGCTTCCCTGGCCTTACTGCGCTGTCCCAGTGTAACAAACTGGTGAACCTATCTGTGTGCAGCTCCTTAACTCCATAATAAAGGTTTAATTAGGAAGTGGGGGATGGTATGTTTGTGTGTGCATGTGTGGAGGGGGAATCTCCATGCGGTGTTGAGGCAGTCCCAGTTGCGGGGCTCAGAGCTGGCCTGGAACAGTCCCGATAGCTGGTTACGTGGTTGTCCCAGTCCCTCCTGCTCCTGTTCTTGCCAAAGGAGCTGTGCCTTTGTAAGGGCCACCTCAGCACGAAGGCACATGGCCGGTGGTGCATCATTGACCCCCTGGCCTGCTGCTCCCTTCCACTTCCCCTGGGGCTCCAGCAACGTGCCCCACAATGACAGCACGTGCCTGAGAGGCCAAGCCCTCAGCCTTGTACGGCGAGAGGAGCAGCAGGACAGGACGGGACACAGATGCCCCTCCAGGAGCCCAGCTTAGAGTGCGCATATGTCCGTGTACTCAGGACACACCCACAAGTCCCACCCACAAGCTGCCCAGCCAATAGCCTGAAGCCATAGAGTTCAGCCCATACACATCGGCCTATGTGCCCTGCTGAGTTATAAGGCGTCTCTCCAGCCTCCTCTCCATAGGCCCGTTGTTGCTGAAGGTTCTTAACGGGCATCAAGCAGGGTAGGCTGAGCTGATGCCAAACTCTCTAGAGGAGTCACTCAGAAGCGTATCATGTGTTTTGTAATAAAAATAGTCATACTTACTGGTAGACCAGGTACAGAGGTGCTACAAATACAGAAGTTGCCATCTATCTATGACAGGGTTGTAAGAAGGGTGAGGCAAGTGAGGCACTTGCCTCAGGCTCAAACTGAGAGGGTGCAGTCCCCCAGCTGTGCACAAAGTCTGGGGTTCCAGGAAGTGCACAAGCTGCATTTCCCCTCCCCAAAAAGCCAGCATGCTCCTGAATTGGCAGGTCTGTGGTGGCCAGCGACTTCCTTCCCCTGCTGCCTTCCTGTGTGGGTAGGGGGGAGGGGACCAGCAGTCCCAGACCACGCCAACTCCAACTGCTCAGGAAGTGTGCGCTGCTGCGGGGAGTGAGGAGCATGGCGTGCACTTCTTGAGCAGTTGGATCTCACGTGGTCCCAGGACTCCTACTCCTCCACATCCCTGTGCATGTGCAGGAAGGCAGCAGGGGAAGGAAGTCACCTGCGTGCCACACACCCAGCTGCTCAGGCAGCGTGCGGCTATTTGGGGAAGGGGGAAGCAGTACACGAGCTTCCTGAACCCCACACCTGGTGCTCAGCTGCAAGATCCCCAAGTACTGGCCACAGCTGTTCCTGTCCCCTCCCCCGGTCAAACAACACCACCAGCAACCTGTCCCCACCAGCATCCTGTTCCCTGTCCCCACCAGCATCCTGCCACAGCACCCACCAGCACAATGCCCCAGCACACTGCCACCTGCCCCAGCACTCACCAGCACCCTGTCCCCCGACCCATCACCCTGTCTCCTGCCCCCACCAGCACCCTGCCCCAGCATCCTGCCACCTGCCCCAACATCCACCAGCATCCTACCCCCAGCACCAGCAACCTGTCCCTTTCCCCCACCAGCACCCTGGCCCGGCACTCACCAGCACCCTACTCCAACACACTCCAGCACCCTGTTCCCTGCCCCCACCATCACAGTTGGGGCCACTTTAGTGAGGCTTGGGGGGTTTTGGAAGGGGTTTTTTGCATCTCACTTTGTGTGGCCCCAACTGACTTTTCTGTGAGTCAGAGACCCCTAACTCAAAACAGGTTCCCTGCCCCTCCCATAAATAAAGACAATGTTGAAACCTTTTGTGTTTGACAATTTATTTCAAAATGAATCCTGGCCAAAAAGCCCCCACTGGGGCCAAGCCCCCATCTGACTCCAGCATCATAACACGCCTGCACCTCCCCCCCCCCCCGCCCCCCCCCTCCCCCTGTATACATTGGAACCCCCTGTAATGAGCCTCTTACATCCCCAGACTCCTGCACCCCCACATCCTCAGTCTTCTGCCCCAACACTCCTGCACCATCCCCACCCCACAAATCTGTGTCCTGAGCCCATCATACTCCCAACCTCCCTGCCCTGAGCCCCTCACATACCCAACCCAAACTCCTGCACCCTCACAGCCCTTGTACAAGCATACAGTTCAGTGTTAATTGCATGGTGTCACATACTGTTTCTCCAATAATATGACAGCATACCATTTTTTCCACTGAATGGAATGGAATCAAGAGTACTATAATATATATACGCACAAGGAGATGTGGTTTAATTTTTATGTGTCCTGAGTTTTAAATACCTAACTGTACCGTGTTAGAATCATAGAATCATAGAATCATAGAATAATAGGACTGGAAGGGACCTCCCCTCAAGGCGGGACCAAGCTCCGTCTGCGCCATCCCTGACAGATGTCTATCTAACCTGTTCTTAAATATCTCCAGAGAGGGAGATTCCACCACCTCCCTTGGCAATTTATTCCAATATTTGACCACCCTGACAGTTAGGAATTTTTTCCTAATGTCCAATCTAAACCTCCCCTGCTGCACTTTAAGCCCATTACTCCTTGTCCTGTCCTCAGAAACCAAGAGGAACAAATTTTCTCCCTCCTCCTTGTGACACCCTTTTAGATATTTGAAAACCGCTATATTTTTCATTTGATTTCCGTGGAATGTAGGCCTATGGTATTTTAGATGTTCTCATTTTCAATAAGCCTTCATACTTTAAAAAATCTTACAAACTTTTGACCTCACTGCTATTTAATGGCAGTGAGTTCCATAGATGAATTGAGTCAAAAAAAAGTTCCCGTTTATTAATTTAAATTTGGTGTCATTTAAGTAAATGTGAAAAGATATTCAGTGAAGCCAGGTGAGGGAACACCATTGATCTTTGTAATGGCATTACAATACTTTCAGGCTGCGTCTAGATTGGCATGATTTTCCGCAAATACCTTTAACGGAAAAGCATTTGCACAAGAGGGCTTTTTCCCGAACGGGATAGTCATTGTATTTGCACAAAAACAGTGACGATCATACATTAGATCATCAGTGTTCTTGCGCAAATTCAAGTGGCCAGTGTAGACAGCTGGTAAGTTTTTCCGCAAAAGCACCTGCTTTTGCGGAAAAACTTGCCAGTCTAGACGCAGCCTCAGTGTTATTTCCTGTACCTTTCCTTATGGATTTCACCCTCTCTCTTCCCCTTTTAACATCTATTACACATTGAGCAAATGTTCTCTTTTTTTGTGTGAAGCGATTCAAAAGGACAGGAAAATCGGTCTGCCTTCCTTTATAGCAGCAGTGCTAATTACTCCCTAACATTTCACATTTTTCAAAGTATTAATTATTCTGGTTTTTTTAAAAAACTGTTTCAACCATTGTTCCTGGTATTCAAGACCCTGCTCTTTTTTGTAATTCCAGGCTCCATTCCTAATGCCTTTAAGAAAGATACAATATTCACTATTCTCCAGTCCTCGGTCAAAGAACTTATTTTGATGATATTGCTTAACTTCATCAGTAACTCACCTAGTTCCATCTTAAATCGTTGGACTAATCCAAACCCACGTGAAAGTGGACAGATCTCTCCCATTGGCCTGGAGTTAAGCAGGGACAGGGAACTGGGGAAAAATGGGTAAGGCTGAGGGTATGTCTACACTACCCCGCTAGTTGCAAATGAAGCCCGGGATTTGGAATGAGGAGTACAGCTAGTTCGGATTAGGAAGCCTAATCCGAACTAGCTACTCCATGCCGCGTGTAGCCGCGCGGCACGGGGTTCGAACTAGCCGGCATTTAAAATTTAAAAATGGCGCCGGCCGGCTTTATGCAAATGAAGCCCGGGAAATTCAAATCCCGGGCTTCATTTGCAATTGCGGATGACTACATTACCCCTGCTAGTTCGAACTAGTGGGGTAGTGTAGACATACCCTGAGACATCAGATGGAGAACATCCCCAAGATCTATTGGGGGGCACTTTCATTCATATTCTCGTGGATTGTAAAGAGAATGGGATGTGAGATACTAAATGTAGAATCTGTTTTTACCAATGGCTTCTTTTTATGGACTATGCTGTTGGAATAGGACTGTAATACGGGGCCCAGCTGTGCTGGCTGCAGAATTTAATCCAGTGGGGTGTACAGGGGACAGCCCCAACCAGAGGGGCCGGAGAAGCATCCCAAGAAGCTGGCAGCAGAGCAGCAGCAGGATTGAGACGGGGCTGGGTTCTAGGAGTCCTAACCATGGGCCCAGCCTTTTTGGGGGGAAGAGAACCCTGCCACACAGCGCACAGGAAGGGGAGCCCTCAAGGCCATCCAGGCTGCTGGGTAAATGGAGGGGGAGCAAGACCTCTGACCCTTTGGAGAACCAGATCCATCCGGCTCCCTGGGAAAGCTCCCCACAAAAGGCAGATTTTTCCCCGGCTCCATTTCCTCAGCATCCTGCCAGGGACTCGCTTTCCTGTTCCAAGGGGAAACTTTGCCCCTGGGCAGGTTTTGCTGGTTCGTGGTACACCAGGCTCCTCACATTTCTTCAAAACCGTGTAACCGCCTGCCCCTGGGCCTGACTGAGGCTCTGTCCACCCCCACACCCCCAAGGGCAGCACGGGCTGGACAGAGCACTCCTGCTGTCCTAATGACCACACTGCCAACCCGCCTCTCCTGCTGCCATTGCTCTGTCCACGCGGGCCCTTTGCTTGCTCCTGGGAGGTGTTTTTTTCGTACCCCAACAGACATTTTGTTCACAAAAGAGGGGTGCAGGCAAAGTCCGCGTTGCATGCTGGGAAAGCCAGGCACGGCCTCCAGTCCTGCACCGTTTAAGACGGCAATTTTCTAACCATCTCCCACACCAAACTCAGCTGTTTCTAGGCTCAAAGCTCTTTCTTGTGAAACCCGGCCTCAAAGCTCAGTGAGCATCTCTGCTC